GCCTGGCCTTTGCCACCTAAGAGTGGCAAAGTCAATTGGAAACAGAAAGCAGAGAGATGTAGGTGAAAGTCAGATCATGTGAATCAGGGATAAATACACAGATGAATTAAAGCTGTGTATTTTTTAGTACCATAACAAATACACTCATTTCTGCCTATCATTTGGAGAAGAGAGTTGAAATTCCCATGCCTGCTTTCCATATTTTTTAAAATACCTATTGTGTTTGATGGGAAAGCAAGAAAACAGGTAAAACAAAAGCAGTCTCATGCAGCAACATTTCATGTGTGCTTTGGCAGCCTGTGCTATCAGCTCATCTGGAGTGGTGAGCACTAAGAGTACGTGGAGCACTTAACAGCTCTCATTGCCAGACCTTACTGACTCACAAAATCACCTCTTATTTAAAAGAATGTTTATCTGAGTGTTTACTCAGAGCTTTTGAAACTTGGAAATTCAGCTCTAGAAGAAAAATTATGATCTTTGTGTTTTGTTGTTTAGTATGTTTATCTTGTTTGTTTAATGCTGCTCACATGTTAGACCTCCCTTTTGGCATCTACAAAGAAACAACTTTCTAATCTAGGCTTACAATTTATCTCTGGATTCTTAAAGTAGAAATTAAAATTATGCAGCAACCAAGTTATGTACATTATACTCTCCCCTTCCCACTTGCCAGACCTTGACACTGGGGCCATCTACTCCTGCCCCTGACTCATTCAGCAATACATAATACAGAAGTGCTTCGCATTAAGTATGTTTCAAAAAACCAGCGTGTTCCAGTGAAGTACTGAGCACATTCTTCCTGCACACTGAGTTGGCCTGAAAGCTATCTTCCATGCTACTGTTTCCACAGAATCATTCCCAAAGGTCTTGAACCCTTACCAGATATTTCTGATACCACCTTTGATCTTGCTGTGTTTCTACTTCTCCAAGCATGACATGAAAGCAACATTCCTGTATTCTTTTACATTTGAAATCAGCTATATTTCAAAGCTCTGATGTCAATAGGACAACTTTATATCACCTCCAGTTAAACATATCTGCTCAACAGATGTGAAATAGTTCTTTTGTTTCACTACTCAGTTTGAAGCCAGCTACACAGGTAATTGAACTAAATGGTATTTTGTGAGTGTGCTCAGGTACTTGTCTGTCAAATCTTTAAAAGCCAAAACCGTGTCACTGATCTTCTGCCTAGGATGATGCTGAGTGGTTGGCTTTCCTTAGAAATGGATTTAGTGCATACTGCTAGAGCATGCAGACATAGGAAATGCAGGAATGGACACCCAAGAGAAGGCTTTATATTTGCATGTCATCCCTACAGCCATCTTGGTAGCTTTCCACGTAGATGCCCCTCCCACTCTTAGGACAGACCCAGCATGGATAGTCAAGAGTGGGAAAGAAGCAGCAATTAATCTGTCAACCAGCTCTGTGGATGGAAAAGCTAGATTCTGCACCCTTTTGATAGGTGAGGCCATAAGTAAAGGAACCTCAACTTTATACCCTGAAGCACCTTGGCAACAGTCATATACAAGGGTTCAGGAATCGGGCTAAGAATCACACCAAAACGACTTGAATTTCCAGGATCTGCGTCTCTTGTACTTTTTATTTATACTTCAATTAGCTTTGTATCTTCAAAAATCAAGGGGAGAAATCAAGAGAATGGCAGGAGGACAGTGATGAAGAAATAGTAAAGCAGAGAGAGACCAGGCTAGAGAAAGGAGAGGAACAGAGTTTCTAGTTATTAAGCCAAAACAAAATCTTTTCAGATTTCACTAAACTTTATTACTTTGATGACTTAAAATTCACCTCTTGAAAAATACTAGGAGGGCCTTTTCAAGAGAGATAGAAAATACACTTGCATCTCCCTTGACACTGCAATCACTAAACCACAAGGCATGCTGTCTGCTATACCACCTCTCTAGCTGCATGGAGCTATCTCAACATGGGCACACATTTCAATCAAAGCAGCTGAAAATAGTTCCTGGGTCGCTGTCTCTCCACAAAGAATCAGCCACGGCAGAAAGGTAAGCACCAGCCTTAATGCCCCAGCACCTCCTAGGAGTAAAGCCCATGATGACAACTACCTGAGCATACTTTTCACAAAACCCCAAATTCTATATTGTAGCCCAGAAACTGAAAAAATGCTGGTAAATTTAATGTTTCACAGATGCAACACTTTGTATCTTCCAGGTTTAAGTGCATGTAAGTGATATCAAGATGAACTTCGAATGTATGAGGGATTTTAGTATGCCAACATTGGGATGCTAGGAAAAGAGATGACAATATGCTCTTCTCAAGCATTTACCATCATTTAATTAAATCTTAATGCCTTAACTTGCATGCCTCTGCAAGTTCTGTCCAGATGTTCTGTGTGCCAGGCTGGACCACCACCTCTTCCTTCTCTCTGGTATTTGCAAAATACCAGGGAATAAAAAGTTGCGACAGCCCCAGTGCCTCTCTGCTGAAAAAGCCATTTGTATAAGGCTTACTGTATCTATTCCTCAGGTGTTAAAACTTCACTGAAATAGAACAGATACAGTAACAAAGGTATAACTGGCAGTCATATTCATGATGTGCTTTTTCATTCAACTGTGTAAGTATTTACTTAGTACAATCCTTCTGAAGGTACTTAGAAAGTAGCTCAAGTTCAAATCCCTGTTTCATTAAAGTGCTAAAAAGATATTCCCCATATACCACATATCCAAGCAGAAAGTATGGGTAAATATTAAACTTGTCCAAAGCATTGGGAAACAACCAGGAACACACCATATACAGAAGCAACAGTGCAGAAGTGCCAGGCATTTAACTATTATTCTCTCAAGTGGAAGAATTTATTCCCTCGTGGAGCATCTCTTTCATGAGCATCATTCCATACCACAAACTGATCAGCACTGCCAAGCTTCACAGCACATACACAAAACAAGCTCTCTTTCTTTGTGTAAAGCTAAGGAGGGAATTAAAGATCTCTTTTCTCTACCCTGTATCCCTAGGATACCAAAACTGGTGTCTCTTGGGTTTCCAGGCAATTTGGCTAGTTTCACACAGTTTTGGAGGGGAAGTTCCCTAAAGCTGCTAGTAAAGGAAACTCACCAGGGAAAACCAAACTGAGTTCTTCCCTTTGCTGCAGGACTACAAAATTATTTCTGTCCCTTCATCTCCCTTAAAGCCTTAAACTTGCTCCCAACTTCTATGCAGCACAATCACAGAGAGGTAACTGAGGTGCTACATCTTGTAAGACATTTTTCAATGCTCAGGGGTTGGATAGAACTGACTCATCCTCAGTCATGGACATGTGGAGACACAAAAGCCCATCTGGCTCAGGACAGTATGCAGAAAGAACTGAAGACAGTGGAGAAAACCTCTGATCTCATATTCTCAGAGTAGACTTGAACTTTATGTATCATACAGAGATATCTGGACAGTAAAATTCCACCCTAGGGTAAAATAATTGAGCTACCTCAGGATGGAGGTCCCAGAGAACTTCACTTGTATTGAATCCCTTGCACAGCTGCTTATGTGGGAAGGCATAGTTTTGCCATACAACATTTGATGCAGAACTTAATTTACTTGTCAGACCACAGTAAAAGAAACAAAGACACATGGTGCTATAATAAGCTAGAAGCAGGACTTCCAAAACTTTAAAGTTTCAAGTAGATAAAAGAATCCTAGCAGGAAATCATGAAGGTATTAAGCATGTTCTGAAAAGCTCAGGCAAAACCCCAGCAATGGCCAACCATGCTCAGTAAGAAATACACTAGAAGAGTTCTTTTTAAAGCCATTTATATATTCTTTGCACAATATAAAATATTGTTATCATCTCCAACAGCATGTAAAAACTTTTACTAAAAACATGATGTACAGGTAACTTTCTTGCAGTGGACTAATGAGTGTTGAAATTTTAACAGATAGCAGCTAATTCAGAAACAGCACAGTAGAAGTGGAACAAGCTAGTGGACAATATTTGTTCTCTAACGTCATACAAGGAAGATGATCAAACCCTGATGGAGTCAGGAATACTGACCACTCTGATCATTATATGACTTACTGAATAGCAAAGTATTACTCACCCACTATCTCCTCTAATTGATATAACTACCTGCCTAATTATAGATGTTGCAATTTTCCGTTAACCTCATTCATGGCTGCTCAACTGTACAAAGAAATAGAAAATCTAAAATATATGCACATACATTAACAAAAATTATGAACATTGTAGAAATTGCTGTACCAAGTGATCACTTGATACTCAACTGATCAAACCACTGACTTCAAGTTCCTTGAGTATCTCTCACTAGGCAACAGCACATGATAAAAATCCCTTCCTGATACATCCTAAACTCCAGACTATGTTCTGCAGCTTGAGAACACACTCCTATCATAAGCACATTGAAATGGAATGGTAGTAACAGTATTCAGCTCTCTTTAAAGACCAGTTGCAGTACTTGACATCTTCCAGCAATTTATTTTCAAAATACACTTATGTTTTAATTATTAAATCAAATAACCAGATTCATTTTGTAAATGAATGTCATGTACAAAATTATGTCAACTCTTCCCAAAAAACAAAGCAAGCTAATTTCAATTCCACCTAATCCATGGTCTTTGTAACTTGGAAGCAATAACTGTTGTTTTGCATAGTTTATTATTTGCCTATTAAATTCTAATAAATGAACTTCTGATTTAAATTTAGCCCCCAGATTCAAGTTTTTACAAATATAAGCACTAATTGAAATTCTTCCATGACAAAGATGCTTTGAATAAGAGTATTTGCACAGAAGGAATTAACTTTGTCTCTGACATGTCATATCATTCACAGTACTGAAAACCTTTGGTCTTCCTTTACAAACATTAAAAGATTCAAGTGAACTGATTTGAGGAGGGAAATTGAATTTTAAATTGTTAAACATTAGTCCTCTTGCTCAATCCATTTGGGTGAGTTTTTCTAGTTATAACAGATGATTTAAGGAATAAGCACCAGTAAGACACATCCATTTACTTACTCTTACCTCAATAATATACAAAACCACGTTTTTGTAGAAGCAGTACAGTATGCATTTGGTAACTCGATTGTAACTCCAAGCACCATGGACCAACAACAACTTCTCCAAGTAGGAAAACTGAAAGCAGAAAAGAAGTATTTACATATATGAGGAATTGCTAAAAAATTGGTTGAAAGTAAACACCTGAATTCAAGGAAAAAAATAAATCACATTTTCAATATTTTCTGCCCACAAAATGTATGTGATTGTGTGTCATATAAAATATTGTATAAAGCAAGGTGCATTTTCCAAAAAGGGCAAGTAAATGAATCTTTTATAATTGTGTACCTTTTAATGCTATTTTGAACCCCATATGGAGCTCAAATTCAGAACTTTTGAAAATGGACTTTTATGGAGCCAGTTGTAATCCAGACTGGGAAATGCCTAATTTTCTAGTCTTGGCTTTTTTAGTGAACCTTTTTATGACCTGCAGCATTCCTCTTTTGCCCAGTTACCCACAGCTCAAAGTGATGACTGTGTTTACTGTTTAGCATGTGTATACCTGAAGGGACCTTGGGACACTAAGGTAATTATTTGCTTTGCTTCCTTTTCCACAAAATGACTTGACAGGAAAACCCTGACTTCCTAAATTTAGATTCTAGATAATTTATTTTAACCAAAACTTATTTGAAATGGAAAGCTACAGTAATGAGTTAGAACTGTCGTGAGGCAGCTCTGCTCCCATGCTTTCCAGCAATTAAATCACTGAACCACAAATCCTGTAAGGACAGCCTCTCTCCCATGCTTCAGCAACTCAGATTTGTTAGGATATGCCAGCAGAGAAGGAGAGAAAACAAAAGTGAAGCAGGCTTCACTGTTCTCTGCTTAACTTGAGCTAGAGCTATAACTATACTCCCAAGGGAGTAGCTGACCTGTTAGACCCCTCATGCCTCAAGTTAATATGCAGGAGAGCTACAACTTTCCTCATCAAAATTACTTTGAAAACACCAAGTTGATGGGAAACTTGCCAGAACGTCCTTACAAGTTATCCCAAAGCTCTTGTGGAAAAGTCAGGCACAAAGTGAGAACTTCTCTCTGCTGAATCTAACAAGTGACCATCTTGGATGTGGTCTTCTTGAAAGCTCAAGGCAACAAAAAATCCTACTATTAATTGTTCTTGTCTGTGCTCTCATGAAAATGAGCGCACTACAGAGCACAGCAAGGAAGACACTCAGAGCCTAAAGAACACACTGAACCTGCTCACACCAATGAAGAGTCCCATTAAGACATGGCAATGAATTAAATTGGCTTTGATGATGGTATTATGCAAAAGCACAGCTACTGGCACAGAGCAGGACAGACAGGGACTCTACTGAGACTCTTTGTTTGGACGTTCCTGTATTTACAGCATTTTGACTCAGCAGGGAACATTACGACCATCTGGCCAGCCTACCTGTGAACAGTCTGTGTAAGTTTTTACAGTCATCTCTACATCAACCCTAGCATAACTTCTTTTACACTGAAATTATATTCTAGATTTGATCTTGATTAAAGGATGAGGTGATGGCACGTTGGGAGGGTTTTAATACAGTGAAAAGGCATCCACAAAACAAACCAGTTTTTCCAAAGAAGAAAACTGAAACAAGAACATTTGTTGAAGAAAGAAGCTTCCTTAATTAAGAAAAGGAAACGGTCCCTAGACACCAGATGCTCTCTGAATTAAGATGATAAAGCTATTTACTGAGAAAAAAAAGTTATTAAAGTCTACTACTGTCTCTCTAGTTAGGTCATTTGATTTGGGAATTCTCTAAATAGAAGTCACTGGCGCAATATAATTTCAAGGGAAAAGGATGATTCAAACAGATGCTCCTTGCACCTGTGGAAGCTATTTCAAGTGGAGTCAGACACACGTTGGCTTTTTATTTTTGTTTGGTTTATGCTTTGATTCTCCCTGGAATCCCAAATGAGCCTATATAGAGACTCTCTCTTCTCTAAGCGCCTACTTCTAGCAGCACTGCATTTGAAATAGCATTTGAACATGAGATGCTACATTACAGTGGTCGGCTTAAATTACTCAATAAGAACATACTCTGCCTTCAAGGCATGCACATACAGTAATGTTTTAGTGGGAGTTATATGTCTTCACTGAAAGAAATACACTCCACAGAGATCAAGTTTTTCTTTTGAACACTAATTTACTTTTTTTTAAGCACATACTACCACACAGTATTAGTCTCCTCTACTGCAGGGATTTTTCTGTATGTTTTCTAACTTAATCAGTACAAAGTTCTTCCACACAATCACAAAAAATGCAGTTCTATGGTGTTTCACTGATTTTTGAACACTGCATTTCTGTGCCAATGTCACCAGCTTTTATTTCAAATTGAACTAAAACGATTCATTGTAATTGTCAGTAATACTGTCCTTGTTGACTGGAATTTAAACCAAGAGCAACTTCCATGTTCTAACACTAAAGTGAAATACAGGGGGTTTTGTTAATGCAGAAGCAATACGTGAACGTGGAATTACTTATCCAGATTTAACGCTACTGCAACACAAAAGGAATTACATATGTAGGGCCTTCTATGGACAAAACTCTTGCTGCTTAGGCTTAGTTACTAAAGCAGAAGTAATAAATTATCTGAAGAAGTCCAAGTAAAGAGCGTTCCATTAAGTTATACAGCAGAAGCTATATATGATCCACTGAAATTAAAAACGTTAAACTCATTACAAAATACCGGAGACAATGACTATGGCAGTTCCTATACTGATATATATTTGGAATATGCTACTGTTTATGACAGAAAAACATGGTAAAGCTGCCTAAAATTCTCAAAATAGTGAAAGGTCTCAGTTTTTCAAACCCGAAACTGAATGTTCTTCATCAGAGGTCAGAACAGAGCAGAAGTACAAGACAGCCACTTTGCTTCTCAGTAGGTTTAACACAATAAACAGTTACCTGTGCATACAGCAGCATTATTCCTGCCCTTTCAAAACCTCACCTGCCACTGGAACCTATCAAAAGATGGTAATATTTCATGTTACTTGGTAAAACAAATCTGACTACACCCTGCCAGAAGGGAACATCATCTGAAGCTCTGATCACTGAAGAGACAAGGGATTGTCTCTGCTTCCTGTCAGCTCAATCTGGTTTTGCCCTGCATCAGTCTCAAACACATAGAGTATCTCAAGTGTAAATAGTATCCAGAGCATATTCAGCAATCTTTTGCAGCATCTTTTTCCTTTCTGATTTTTCTTTCAAAGTCTTGATTCTAAATTGTGGTTTCTTCAGCAAAACAAACAAACAAAAAAGGCTTTTAACTCTTCTTTTTAGCTGAAGTAATCAGTTCTGAATGTGATGAACTCGTTTAGGAGCACTTTACCCAAATAATGTTCAAAATAACGTGAAAAATGAAAATACTGGCCAGCTCTCTAGAATGATCTGATCAATTCTTGAATGCAAAACAGAGGACAGAGGGAAATAAAGATAGAGGAGACACCTCAAATTAGGAACTGCCAAACAGCCAAATTCTCACACACCTGGTTATAGTATCTACTCATAGTAAGAGAGGAGTTTGCACCAAGACAAATCAGCTACTTAAAAGCATATTAACACAAGCATCACAGAAATTGCTTCCCCATGATTACTGAAGAACCAAGATATTGTACAGTGTCAGGAGGAAACTAAAACTTTGAAGAGAGGTGGAGCTTTGCCCTGGAGAATACAAAATCATAACAAACCCCAAAATATATCCAAAATATGTTCTAGACAGCTGCCTGGAAAAGGAAACAATCAGAGATACTTCTAGCTTGAAGGCTAGAAGAAGTCAATCGAGCACTACATGGCTGCACAGTGCATTTCTCACAAGATGATACGGCAGTTGTTCATTCTTGCTTCTGACCTGTGCAATGGCATAATCCGAGCAATTGGTTGCCTGCATGCCCTCATTACCACTGATCCCCACTCCAACGTGAGCTGTCTGGATCATTCCTACGTCATTGGCACCATCCCCAATGGCAAGTGTTATGGCATTGACGTGTTTCTTGACCATGTCTACTATTTCAGACTTCTGTAGAGGAGATACTCTGAAAAGGAGAGAAAAAGGTGTCAGTTTCTCACATGCTGAGCTATGTGCCTTTCCCAAAAGAACAGCTGTAACCTACATTTAGAAGTAATCAAAGGCAGTTGCTGGGAAGTTCCTTTATTCAACAACTAAGCTTCAGAACCCATGCCAAACTATTTCAGAAGAAGAAAAAATAGCTTTAAAAACAGTTTCACATTTACCTACTTGCTGATAGTTGATGCAAAAGAGACCAAATCTATATGAAAGGTTTCAAAACTTTGTTTACCTTACCCAGCCCCTCCTAACTGACATAACACTGGTGGTGTTATATTGGGAACACTGAAGTGAGTTTCCTCTTCAACTATGACAGTTTACAGATCAACAATGCAGGCTTCCCTGCCTCCTGTCATCACCATCCAGAAGGAGAAAGACCATAAATACATTCAGAGACATTTTCCAAGGTTTGCAAAAGATACCGCAGGCTTACTTTATTATTAAACCAGTTCTGTTTATATCTTTATCAGTGTTCTCAATGAGGGGATTGAGCACACCCTAAGTCAGTTTGCACACAACACCAAGTTGGGTGAGGTTATTGTTCAGCTGGAGGGCAGCAAGGCCCTGCAGAGGGATCTGGACAGGTTAGATGGATGGACCAAGGGCAGTTGTATGAGGTTCAACAAGGTCAAGTGCTAGATCCAACCCCAAGCAGCACTACTGGCAGAGAAGCTGCCTGGCAGAAAAGGACCTGGGGGTGCTGGTGGCATCAGCTGAACGTGATGCAGTTGCCCAGGTGGCCAAGAAGGCAAATGACATCCTGGCCTGGATCAGCAGTGGTGTGGCCAGCAGGAGCAGGGCAGTGACCGTCCCCCTGTACTCAGTACTGGTGGGGCCACACCTTGAATTCAGTTTTGGGTCCTTCAATTCAGAAAAAACAATTGAGATGCTGGAGCATGTGCAGAGAAGGACAATGGAGCTGGGGAAGGGTCTGGAGCACAACTCTTATGAGGAGCAGCTGTGGCAGCTCTGATTGTTCAGCCTGGAGAAAAAGAGGAAGGGGTACATACCTAATCACCTTCTACAACCACCACAAAAGAGATGGTACTGAGGTGGGGGTGTCTTGCCCCAGGTAAAAGACAATAACAACAAGAGGAAATGACTTCAAGTTGTGTCAGGAGGTTTAGATTGGATGTGAGGAAAAAATTAAGGCTGACCAGTATTGAAACAGGCTGCCCAGGGAAGTGGTAGAGTCACAATCCCCAGTGATATTTAAAAGTGTAGATGCAGCACTGAAGGACTTGTGGTGGACCTGTCAGATAGAATTATCTTGAAGGACTTTTCCAACCTTAATAATTCTATTCCCTCCTCCAGATGACCTCCCTGTTTTGCCAAGCCATCTTTCCAACCTCTGACAGGTCATATCAGAAAGCACAAGGCCAAGGCCACTTCCTGATCTCACATATGTCTTGTGTGCTGGTGCAACTCTGATCTCAGTGATGATGTTATTCAATTCCAGCTCAAAAACAAAAGCCTGACTCCATGATACCTGAAAATCCTTATCAGATTTACTGGCAGATTTATTTTAACCTGATTCTTTTCTCATTTTGTATCAGTTTCAAGTCAATAAAAATTCATGGAATTCAGAGTTGAACCAGTCTAAACCAGGCAAAAGTGGAAAAATACTCAGGACTAGGTTTGTAAATTGGATAAGACATCCAAAATGCCCTTTTGTCATGAAAAGGTAGATCAGGTTACCAAATCATATGGGGTATTTTGGAAATACCTACATGTAGATTAAATATTTCCATTCTAACTCCATCTGTACAAACAACTCTAATTCCTTTCACCATCAGTTTTAGTTAAAGATCCAAATTATTTTGTATTTCCTTAAATAAAGCTTTAGACAAAACTTTTCCACATCTCAAGTCAGCCACATACCACTCAAAAAAAAAAAAAAGTAACTTAAATCTAAAAGCTTTACTATTAAAATAAGGGGAGAATAGGGAGCTTAGGGAATACAGGAGACAGGTTTTTTGCATGGCATTTTTTTTCAGAGTTTACATCCTGTGAGAGCAACTTAAATAGCTGTTTAATACACCCATCTGGATCACTGCTGATCAAAAAAAAAAAAAAAGAAAATCACAGTTATCTTGTTCATCATTATGCTTTATGGCCTTGCTTTTGTTTAGTAAATACCTAAATAGGTGCTTTTTTAGTAAATAACTCTTAAAATAACTTGATGAGTAATTTGGGGAAAAAGAAACTTGCTAAGCTCAAACTTCACATATGAACTAAACCACCTGAGAAGTCTAGCAGCTGTCTTGATCCTAAAAGCCAAATACAGGAAAAAGTTGACTAAACCATAAAATTTACTTAATACCATTGGATAGATCTATTAAGCACTCCTGGCAGTGAAAACACCACTCGGCACTGTAGAGGCCCAGTTAAATTACCAACACAAAACCCCAACACACCAACCTATGGAGCACAAAAGGTGTTGATTTTTAATTATAAATCAGCTCTGAGTATCATCTACACAAAATTTTAACTTTTCTCTCATACATGCGCACACACACTCTCCTCCTTCTCCCCCAGTACTCACATAATAAAATACTAAAGCATGGAGCAAAGAATCAAAGGGACTTCCAGCCATAAAATGGAAACACCAGAGGGACTTGGGGCCAGCTGTGGAGGGTTTGGATTGATAAGTGCACAGACCCCCATTACCAGCCCCAGGGGCACCTCCAGTACACAGGACCATATACTTTTGGCAGTCCCCTCAAGCAATTACTTCTTCACAGCGAAGTGCTGCACATATCTGCTAACAGCCTTCTCAGACATACACATCTCTTGGAATTTCAACTTATGTTCAATTACTTTTCAGTTACATAGCGATAGAAATATCTAAGAAGCACCCTGTTTTCAAATATGATTGAAAGAGCCGGGGAAGGAAAAAAGACAAAATGTGAACAGCATCTCTGACTGCGTACTTTAAACTAGCAGCTTGCCTACAGACACTTCAGACATGACCAGAATGTGGCAGAGATGCTCAAGCTTGTTCTAGTGCAGTTTAGCTGGGACATGTCAACCAAGCTAATGCAGCCTGTGTTCACTTCCGTGCCTGCAGTGTAGGTGTGGTTTCAGATTTTAAGTGAACTTTGCCATTAGTGACCCATTATGTGGCAAGTCAAGGGAATGTCTCTATAAAAATGCATTTATCAGCTACAAAATGCACACAGAGTATGCTTTTACTGTCTTGACCAAATGAAGTTAATTATTTCCACAGTTATGTAGCACCCAGTTAATGTTTAACATCCCTATATGCTTAGTAAGGCAAAACAAACTACCGGCTACATGTGCATTTTAAATACCACAAATATTTATGGACTTGGTTTAAGAAGATGAAATACAAGACAAGGTTTCAGCACAAAGTGCTGCTTGATTGTAGTTGCTTCTCCTCAACAGCAGCTCCATAACAAGCATCCTCTTCGACACTTCAACAGCAAGTAGAGCCCGCAACTCCAATTTTGTTGTTGCACATAGTACATTAGCTACAAAAACTGCAAATTGAGATGATTACTGATTTCCTGAGGGGTTTTACACCTCTCCTCCCCCAACTCCCTGACTCAGCCTCCTTATAATCTTTTTAGTACCAATACACTGCATTAGGTGACATTAATCCCCTTAGACAGATGATCAGAGCTCTGGTACAATTCTGCACATTTGATAAGCTGTCTACAGGAAAAACTGAGGATTATAGCACAGGGTACTATTAAACTGTAGCTGCCCCAGGTATAGCCAAGTTCACAAAGATTATAGACAAATGCATGAGTTCAAAGTAAAAACTACAAGGAAAGAACTAACTTATTTGAAAAAAAAAATCTGTAGTGACAGAATTGGTATGTATTATTTGATGTAAGATCCCTGGCTTTCACTGCAGAGCTCACTGCAAAGTATCAGGATGTAAGCCTTGCCTGGATATACACCCAAATAAGAATTAAGATATGAATAAAGCATCACTCTGCTTATTCCTGTTTCCTTTCCTTATTCCCTGGTCAGACAGCAGTGCTTCTTCTAAAAGTTATTTGAGTGTCACTCAAGAGTTCTCTAAAACATTTTCATTTATATGGAAGTTATTTTTATTGCCTCTGCTCAAAAATGTCTTGACAACAGATTGATTCTCTCCTTTACACATACTTGAAGAAAAAGAAAAAAGTCAGGTTTCAAGTACTACAACTCCTCTGACTCTTTCCCTGACAATCTGAATTCAGCCTACACAGGCTACAAGAGAGCCTGAGGTCAAGACTTCACCTTTATAAAGTGCCTATCATTCAGCACCTGGCTGTGCAATATAAAGTGTCCATGGATGATGGCAGGGATACATGAAGTTAAGTGCCAGTCATACAGCAGAGCTTCTCCTTGCCCACCTCTGGGACTTCCTGCTGGTAGCCTTGCCCTTAAGAAAGCAAAAGCTAATAAAGAAAACAGAAGGTTCTTGACAGTCTCAAACCTGCTTAGTCTTTACCAGCACCTTTAACAGATTAATACAGAAAGGCCTTTTCATCCTGAAGAAAATGACTGATACCTTCATAACATGTTGCTTCCTTTGTAATGGGATGGGTAAAAGCAAGAGAGGGAACAAAGAGCCACACCTTGTGAAAAGCTGGGAGATAAATGCAGCCCAGAGCGAGGGATTCTCAGAAAGATTCGAACCTAAATTATCCTTAGGTTACTTAAATTCACAAGTAAACAGGGAAAGGAGGCAGGGGGTGAGTAGTTTTCAGGTAACAACATCGTGTATTGTTATATCAGTAAATACTTTAAGGTCCCTCTTGAACTTTGAGGAGACTCATGAAAAAATAGCACAGGGCACAGCAGAGAGCAGTAACACAGATGGTTTCCAACGAGGACATCAGCGGCTTCCCACTGACTTCTGCAGATCAGGTCCCAATGGCTTTAAGCATTTAGTTTGCATTTGCTTCTTTAGCCTGAATACAACTTTTACAAGCAAAATTCTTACCTGAT